TATATATATATATATATATATATATATACAGTTGCAAGAGCTTCATATCCACTCGAAATGTAGGCTTATTAGGCCATCTAAAATAAATAAATGAAAACTAAGGACATTTACTCTTTCGTTTTAGTTCGTTTTAGCTAGTTTTGCAAACCTACAACACAGTTTTAGTTAGTTATAATTTTTTTGTAAAGCCTCGTTTTTATTTTATTTCAGTTAACAATAATGTTTTTTTCACATCTAGTTTTTATTATTTCGTTTGTCTTCGTTAACGATTATAACCTTGGTCCTGATGCAGACTTTGTAGCTCTTTATACTATGTCACCTGACATCTATTTCCCTATGACATTTGCACGTAAAATAACACACTATCTTTACACGATGTAAGTCAGAGACTAAATGGTGTGAAATGACACACGAAAAGCAAAAAAGGAATTGTGATAACATGCAAAATTACTTAAGACAGTGGCATGTTATTCATACACCATGTGGTGATGCCAGGTCTGGCGGGGTTTTCTGCACTCTACTGTGTGTACTCTTGTACGCACTTCATAATGCATATTGCACTGCTGAATGTCCGGAAAAGAAGTTGAAGCAGAAGGCAAGGCAACAGATGGACAGCGGTAATGTCAGAGAATTACATGAAAAAATAATATTTTCTGGTTCTTCAACTTGTTTGAGATTTAAAAAAACATAAAATAAAAAAAAGGGTCACAAATCTTTAGTCGATCAAGTAACCGGTATGCTGAGTGCAATAGTAAAAATGTTCAAGGTAAGCTCTATCTCTTCATCACTCGTGTTTGAAAGGGTTTTCAGAACTGCATTAACATGGTAATGCCCAAATACATTCCATCCCTGATTATATAGTTGTCTTTATTTTCATATTTCTTTTAGTTTGGCAAAATGACTGGCACAAGAATTACATGGCAGCATTAAGCAGCCAGAAGTTTGACAGCCTCGTGAAGATGTGTCCTGATTTCTATGGCTGTAAGAGCCACATGGCAGCATTTGTCTTGATAAGAGGTAAGCACTTCAGGTATGGGAAGTTTATTTTCCTTCTTTTTAAAATGCTTATTTTTGTTTGGCCGCTCGTTCAATATGATAAGGTGCAGGACGTGTGTTCATGTTTGTAAATGAGAAAAGAAGGACACTGGAGCAGGAAATGTGGGTGGTTGTTAAAAGTCTGCAGCTCGTGTGTTGTGTAGCTGCTGTCTGGCTCAGTGTGACTGACTGCTCTGACAAAAAAAAGAGCAATTTCATTTCAAATGGTCTTTAAAAGGAAGACATTGACTTTAAGATAATTAACAGTATTGTGGATGATAATTGAATACATTTCTGGTTATGTCCATATACTTACAGTATTTTTCTTCATGCTCAGAATAATACCGTCACCACCTTCCAGCCACGATCTTGACATTTAAATGCTGGAGAGCTGTTATTTCTTTCTTTTATTTATTCAAGGAAATCTGTCTGATTGATTATGACTTGCGTGTCCTTTCAGTCACAGTTTGAATGGAGACTGATGAGAATGGCATTTCACTCTTTCTAGCTTCAAGGTCTTTAATATTCTATACGGCTATTAAAATGTATTGTTAAACACGTGTCATCACTTGTTACTGGGGCTCACCTTGTTAAATGACCTTCGCACATTATTCCCCATGTCAGTCATATCTCTGTTGTCCTGTCTGTAGCTGTTTACTAAAATGACAAAGTGTATATTAAATTGGAAAGACAAAATGTTTTGTTTCCTCCATAGAAGTGTTAGATACAGGGGGTCGGCCATGTGAGAGTTACAAGGTGGTGGCGTTGGGAGCTGGCAGCTCAAGCTGCAAAAAGTGGCTTTGCTACAATGGGACGATGGTGCATGACTGCCACGCCATCATCATCGCCAGACGGGCTCTCCTAAGGTGAAAACTGCTAATGTGATTTCCAAGGTTAAAGAACCACCTCATGTAAATCTGAGTTTGAATGAGTGAAAGTGTGAGAGTAGGGAATGTTCAGTTTACAAAATCTTAAAAGTTAAATGTATAAATATTGCCTTTGCCTTATTAATCATTGTGATGAAGTCATGACATGCCTTTTCCTCTCGTTAGAGCAGGCAGTCTGGACCAGCCTGCTCACTCTCTATCATTGTTGGTGCTTCTGGTGAATTGAAAGTGGGTCAAAGTGAGAATGGTATTTTCTGGCTTGTGTTCAGGTTTCTCTACAAACAGCTTCTGCTGTTCTTTGATGCTGATCCAAAGGCCAAGGAGAACTGTATTTTTGAGAGTAGTACAGACAGCCACCAGCTTCAGGTCAAACCCAAGATCAGTCTGCATCTCTACACCAATCAGTGTCCTGAAGGAGCAGCTAAGAACTTCTGCTTCAAGTACAGCAGTCTGTTATTTCAATATCCTTATTTGTGATGTGATGTGTGTGATGTATTTGCGGTGTGTATTTAAAATACCTTGGTATGACAAAAAAATTAAGGATTTAATTCCAAAACAGTATTTATTATTATTAAAACTCAAAATAGTAAGAACTGGAACCTGGAATAAAAGTTAATTTATATTTATGCCTCCATGCCGGCGACAGCTGTAGCCGGAGGCATTATGTTTTCGTTATGGCATTATTTCTGTCCATCCCATTCTTGTGAATGTGATATCTCAGGAGTGCCTTGAGGGAATTTATCCAAATTTGGCAAGGATGAACTGATTTAGAATTTGGTCGTCAAAGGTCACAGTGACCTCAAAACACATTTTTGGCCATAACTCGAGAATTCATATACTGCTTACAAGAAAATTTCACACAAATTGAAAAAATGATGAAGTGATGACATTTTATATTTAAAAGGTCAAAGTTCAGCTTCATGTGACATCATAATATTCGTGACTGCGATATCTCAAGAATGCCTTGAAGGAACTTCTTCACATTTGTCACTTTTGGTCCATTTACACTCAAGGATGGACTGATTTGCTGGTCAAAGGTCAACTTAACTGTGACATCATAATGTCCATCAGTTAACACTGTGCCTCAGGAACAGAAGGGGAGATTGTGACTATGTTTCACAGTTGGTTGGACAGTAGTCGGACTGGCTTTCCTCCATCTAATTCATTCTGCCTTTCACTTCCTGCCTCCTTCTGAATTTCGTGCGTCATTGAGGTTACGTGACTGCGAACAGTGTATTGGAGCGTGCTTAGCTAATCATGATCCAGTGATATATGTTTGTTTCATTTTACTTGTGTTTGATTGGTGTAGATTTGTGAGGAGGTGGGTGTTAGGGGACAGGCGACAGGAGTCTGGAGTGAGAGTGTAGCCACTTTCATATGCAGATCAGTGCAGAAAGATTATCGGCATTTATGTCACATTCACTTATTCATACTGAACAAAAGTTTTCACCTTTATCTCGTGTGAAAAGGCCTTTATCCCGCAATCATGTTTGCATGTATGCTTTCTCATAGCGGTCTGGCTTTACAGGAACCAGCGGAATGTCGGCTGTGGCTTTTCACAAACAGATCGTTCCGTCTTTCTGTCTCGTGTCTGTCACCAACTTTCCCTGCTCAGAGGTGGATAAAATCTGCTCTGTACCTTTCATAAAGTAAAGATTGGCGCAATACCTCTGTGAAATAAGGCAGCGTGAAAGCTAGTGTTAGGAGCTAATTACAAAAATTGGACTAGAAGTGTTTTTAGCTTTTAGCTGGGTAGTTGGCGGTCCAGTCGAGTGTCTGACACACTGTCAGATCTTCTGATTGTCCTGCCGTCCTCCCCAGAGATCAAGGAGAACGATCCATAGGCTGTATAAAAAAGGTTTATCCCACAAAAGCTGTGATGCTGTGGCAGTGAGCAGCTTTTAAGTTGAATGATTAAGCATTTTGCAAGTTTATAAAACAATTTATTTTTATTTTTTAAGTACATTTAATAGCAATAATATAACTTTGTTTCAAATTTCCCTCTTTTTTTTAAGTTTGCAAATGACATAATACCTTATTATCTCAATTAAAAGGGTTTGGCCGGTGAATTTTTTCATCTACCAGCCACCTTGGCAGGTGACCAAAAAAATTAATTATCAGAAAAAAAATTCAGACATACAGAAACTCTCCTACTTACTGGGAGATTACCCTCAGAAATTATTGCAGCAAAATGTATCTCCTTATGAAATGAACTGAGAACAACCACTGGAAACTCAGACTAGGGCTGAACGATTAATTGCATTTGGGATATTATTGCAATATGATTCTTCTCCACCGTTACTCATAATAATAATTCATGCAATTCATGCATCACCTAATTTCATCATAACAGAGGCCTGGCCTACAAGAAAGAACAGTGTATGTTTAATATATCTAATATTGTGTTGGTCATACTATACACTTGATTTATTGCTTGTCAAAATAGAATAATACAGGAGGTAAAGAGCTTAGAAATGTATTGCATATTAAATCGCAATTGCAATATTGGTAAAAAAAAAATTCAATTAGATTATTTTCCAAAATCTAAATCAGACTAATATACAAAATAAATAATTGTTGTTGTTTGTATACAATTACTGTGATATTATCAAAACTATCAGTATAATTATTGTTGTTTGTTATTTTTTAAATAATTGTTACTTGGTAGGAGAATATGCTACTGCATGTCAAAAAGCATGACATATTTTCAATTTAAGATATAACAACATTGGTGAACCTAAACATTGACGCCAATAAAGCATACTGAATTGAATTGAAAATTGAGAGGCCATGCATCTAAAGATGCCAGGAGAAGACAACAGCACCACATTTTGTGTAGCTATACTATACTTCAATTGTTACTACTTTACTACATCTTTATTTAATAATCAAATATTGTACCACGTGTTAGCCAATACATCTGTGAAAATCCTTTATTAAACAGTTTAAAGAGGTGGTATTATGCTCATTTTCAGGTTCAAAATCTTAATTAGGGGTGGTACTAGAACAGGTTTACATGATTTAATTTTCAAAAAACACCATATTTTTCTCATACTGCACATTGCTGCAGCTCCTCTTTTCACCCTATGTGTTGTACGCTCTGCTCTTGAGCTACAGCGTGATGCATCTTACTTATACAAAATCTTTGTTGGGAGTTGCACATGCGCAGTATCCAGGTAAGGACTACTAGCCAATCAGAAGCAGAGAAGGGTGGGTCGTAAGAAACAAGGTAGTGTGATCCAAATCAAAGCCGCTTCAGACTGCGACCGTAACCTAGCAGATGGTATAAGTTACTCTCAAGTCCACAACCACACAACATCATTGTTCCACATTTTACCATAAACCACTACAAAAATCACCATATTTCAACTCAATTTTAAAAATGCTACCATAGCGCAAATCGATAGACTCAACTCTACTCGGCCCTGTTCTGTTTTCCATTGCATTGCAAGTAGTACCCAGAGATGGTACGTAGCTTGTCGTCATAGCGATGCCACACACAACTGCCGCGACGTAATGTTCAATGCGACACACAAACCAGCGATCCACACAGCTTTCTCTTTTTTAAGTTAAAACTTTTCAACATTACTCAGAATGTAAAGACAGATAAGCGGTATGAAAACCTTCCAGCTGCCTTTCCTCTGCCGTTGTTGTCTTGTCCTCATACGCTCCTCCCGCGGGTTGGCACAGGCTTCCCCCGCAGCCACTTGCGGAGCTCCTCAACTACATTTTTGTTCGGCCATCACTTCTCGTAAAACTGTCAATATTCGAAATGTACACAGTTGATTTCTCACCTCAAAACTTCTCAGAAGTGGATTTAGTGATAAAATTACATACAAAAACTATAAAATATAATACTTTGTTGCTGGCCTCTGTCTGGTGCACGCAATGATGATGCAGTGAATAGTGAATATTCTCTGACCGATCAGTAGTCTGTTGTGTTTTCACGTTACATTTTAGTATCCCTCGCTTGGAACCTCGACGGAGGTGAGGTGATACGAAAAAAAGTACTTGGAAGCAGGTACAGGTACAACATTTCTACAATGGGAAACCAAACAAAGGCGAGTCGAGCCAAAGGGCCTCCGCTCAGACTAACTTGGTTTGAGGGCGTGCCTGACACCGCTAGCCGCTTGGCAAGCTTTATGACGCGTTTTCATTGTGACGTCACAAGTAAAGGAAGTGAAGGGCTGGACTACCAACGAGCTGTTTTCAAGCGGTTCAGAGCAGAGCTTTCTGTGGGAGATGGGAACTCCCTTTGAGCCAGACTTTGGGCTTTTTCACTTTGCAAACCTGTTACGTGCAAAAAAAAAAAGATATAACTCAATAAAGGAGAGAGGAAAAGCTAAAAAGCATAATACCACCTCTTTAACCTCCCATTAAACAAAAATATGCACTTTATACCTTTTTATTCAAGTCCTTCCAAATATTGACTACTTCATATTATGAGTCTTGACAGACATGGATATGGCATAAATCGACGGGACGGGAATTCTAATTTATCTCTGTAATTTCTGCTGTAATGGGTAGTCAATTTGAAATCCATGTAATTATGAGTAAATCAGAATTTTTGCTCTGGTTTAGAATGGCATCTAAATGACAACATGTCATGTCTACAATGTTATGTCTTGTGTAGGGGCTCTGCGAACAGCACTTGGACAGCCATGAAGCTGCATTATCATGCCAATGGCCGGCTGGTCCCTGTAGCCTACCTAAACCCAAGTCTCTGGGGTGCCAAAGTCTGCTGCCTGTCTGGTAATGACAAGCTGTGTCGCTGGACTGTCACTGGCGTTCAGGGTGCATTACTGAGCCACTTCATCCAGCCACTCTACATCACCAGCATGGTGCTAGGTAATGAGCCTCAAAGCAATTATTTGATTTCTGGAGTTTCGTAAGAAGATTGTACGGCAAATATAAAGCTATAACCAGAAGTGCCCTGCTTTCAGCCTAGAAGTAGTCTAACAAATAACTCCTTGTAAAACCATGTGTCTTTAAAAAAAAAACACAAAAAAAAAACATAACAAGTTAGTGAGCTTTAAAGTCTCTTCCTGTTTACTTTATGCTAAGCTAAGTAAATTGGCTGCTGACCATAGCTCCACATTTAGTGTGACAAGAGTGAAGGTAAATAAGAGTATTTCCAAAAATATTCCTTTTCATTTCAGATGGAAGTCACTGCAAGTTATCTTAGGTTGGTGTTTTGTTAACACAGTAAAGATTCGTATTTTACATCCAGGTGGTATTATTTCCTTTTGTCATAAACAGTAAGTCAGATGTTTTTTTAAATTAGTAATCTGAAGCTGTTAAGCTGACATGCTTTGTTCAATATGTAATGTTATATGGATGAATTTCTTTCATCTGTGGGTTTAACTATTTAAGCAAATACTGAGCTTATTGTGTTCATTTAGGGGGCCAGAAGCTATTTAATGAGGAAGTGTCCATTACCAACAAGCAACTGGATGATGGATTGGAGGACCTTCTCCCGCAGTCCTACAAAAAACACAACATCATCTTTCTCTCTGGCGACTACGTGGGGCCTGTTGTGACCCCCCCGCAACATGACAATCTCAGCATCAACTGGTGCCTCGACGACAAGGATATTGAAGTGCTGAATAGTAGCAAGGGCTTCATCATTGATGGGTAAGATGCAGATGCATTGTACAAGAAATCAGTCTTATGTGCATCATTTTGGAAACTGCATGATGTTCAAATTTCACACAGTTTAAGGAGTGAAGTAAATGTGCTGTAACTCGTCCCTGCATCAAAAGTGTGGGACCGGTGTGATGTCCTTTACTCACTCCTCTTGCAGAGATTCTTGACCTGACTATAGTTTACTTCCATTTGATGTTAGTCCTGGGGATAGATTAGAACTGCTGGCAGAGCCTGATGCAGTTTGCTTGTTTGACTGTCTCAGTGAGGCCCATGGCTCCTGCTGATGTCAAGTAGCTGGAGTGTGACACAGACGTGGCTCTCACTGGAGGCTGTGTTGTCCTCTAGCAGAGATTACAGCCAAAAATAGATTTGAGATCCTGCTTGACTCACAGTGTTGCTGCGTATTTCAGCTTCTGACCTGCAGCCTGAACTATTAGGTTTAGGCGACACCATGGTTTAAGTGGCAAGATGAGCTTTGCAGCCCGTTCCAAACAATAAACTATAAATAGACAAAGAAAAATCTGCTTCTGGTAATACAGATAATACATTTTAGAGCAAGAATACAGGACACAAAGTGTGCAGGGAGGAGGTAAAGAGGAATTACAAGGATGGCAAGAACACCTACTGGAAAGAACTCCCACCCAAATTATAGCTTGAAAACAAAAGGAGATGCTGCTTGTGTCACACGAGACTCTACTGATGTAGAAGTAGCATGCCAATTATTCCTAGGTACTTTTAGCTATGGTTTTCACCACTGAAGTAGTTCTAAAAACACTGGCTTGAACCCAAATATCTTGAATTATGCCTAGAAGAATCAACTATATGTGGAATGTATTAGTAATAAAAAAAACAAAGAAGTTTTGAGTGGGATGAGGAATGTAATGGGCTGTAGACATTGTAGTTGTCTTGGAATAGAACTTAAAGCAGGGGTGGCCAAACTGCGTCCCACTTTTAATGGCCCTAGGTGAAATTTTAAACTAGAACTTGGCATCACACACAACACATCCACCAGTAAGCTCAGGGGATAATTATGGTGACGTTTTTAACCCAAACTCACCAATGGAAAAGGCACAGTTCGTCCTGAGCGACAGCCACTTAGCTTTCCAGCAGCGCACTCGCCAGACTACAGGAGGTAACTCAGGTCTCAACTCAACTAAAAATAAGTATTTTTTGTTTGTTTGCTGGGATCCAGAAGAGAAGGTTCTTGTTGAGATAATGGACTGGATAATTAAGTAAGGTGGAGAGATTGTCATGTACTGGAAGACATGGGTCCTCTGTACAAACAATGTTTTTGTGTAAATACACTGAATGACAACATCGTTTATATTAAAGGATCCCTAAATGAGCTGAATGTTATTCTTTCATTTAGCTTATTTCAGACCCTGCCTACAAAGATGGATTACTAGTTGATGAGAACATTTACCTGAGTTGATTAAACATGACAGAACCGAAAAATAGGATGTTAGCGAGTGGATGCCGAAAATTCAGAATTAGACCCACGACTTCTTTGTGGCCCACATTCACAAAAGTTTGGCCACCCCTGCACAACCATCTACTAATGTAAGCTTATATTAATGCTTTCAATGCCCCCTGAACTGTCTTTATTGACAACTCCGGGCTTCTCACCAGTGGTCTCTTCCCCAGAGTTCCACTCTAGGGTTTCCCCCAGGAAGTTGTTTAGCAGTAGCAGTAAGTGCTGCCTGTGGGAAACCTTGTCTTCTCTCAGTCAGCCAGACCTCACATGAGATTTTTGCTGTAACCGCAAAGAAGAATTGACTTGCCAAACACATTTTTATGTTCAGCACAGCAAAGCCTCTGAAGCAGAGACAACTTCCTCCAAAATAGTTTTGGGGATGGAAACATTGTTAACAGGCAGTCACTAAATAGGGTGGTCGGTCGGAAGGTGTTGGGATTAGTGGGGGACATCTCTATTTTTAGTAGCGTAGGTTTTTCTAATTTCACCATTTTGTTCTTCTTTCCCCTCAGTTCTCTTTTCCCCACATTCGCACACACCTACACCTTTGCTGGAAACACAGCAGCTTGCCTTGTCTCTTTCTGTCTAACTTTCCCCATATGTGTTTGTGCTGCGTCTTGTAAAGTAATAGATTGCATCTGTTTCTGTGTTTTTTGTGGGAAACACTGGATTTATTGGTGGGGAAGTGTGTGTGTTAGTCACACTACAAAGCAAGTCTATGTCTTATTTCACTGGGCTACTAACTCTAATTGACATGCTAATAGCACAGATAACCATAACAGCTTTTTTGATGTGTTTGTATCATATGTTGTAGCTAGATACAGTATACCCTCATATCATGCAAAAGAAGCCAACAAACCAATGTACATTAATCAACATGTAAACAGTGCATGATTCAAAACTTTTGTGCTTTTCAAATGTTTAAGAGATGGTTTTACATTTAAATTGGTTGACCTTTAAGGACATGAGCATTGTGTTTTGATAATATATGTAGAGGTAAGTTGTTTTTTTGATGTTAGGATACAGTCATTGGAATTTTAGTTATGGTGCACTTTCTTATTTCTCAGCTCTCCATCTGTGAGTGGGCCTGGCTTCTCCAGCAGACTTTGCAAGAGAGCCCTCTACAGTTATTTCCTCCGAGTTGCACAGCTGGGCGGGCATAGCAATCTGCTAGATCTTCCCACCTACCACAGGGCAAAGGTGTGTGTCAGCTATAGATTATTAAAACAATGCTCTGTGCTCACTCCTATAAACGTGGTACTATAAAACTATGTGTTGTTATGGTGAAAGTGCAGTGTGCACTCTCTCAACGGCTGGAGTGTTTGGTAACTTTGCTTCCGTGCAGTTTCTGGATGTTGTAAATGGTTTGTTGTTTTATAGGAGGAAGCCGTCGTCTACCAGACAGTCAAAGATCTGGTCAAGCAACCGTTTCTGAGCAACCGTGCAGGTCCCGGCAATTCAAAAAAGCTGGTGGACTGCTTTAGCACTTGAATATGCCCCCAGCAACAGGCCATGTAGAAGTTCATCCAAGTTCCTCTTGTGATTTTGTTTACTGTTGTTCTGTGCACTTCACTTACTGCCCTTAGCAGTAATTCTAGTTTTGTTTTATGTATAATAATGTTGATCTCAGTTTGTGTAGGTGTTTGAGGACAATAAAAGACACCCTACTGTTATGCACCAGAGTGAAGCAGTCAGTTTGTGTGAGTTGTGGGTGGAAAAACATTGCTTAAAGGCTCATTTTATTCTGACATGTCAAGTAGTATTGAGCAATATAATCGTCGTTTTGTAGCTAAAAGTTTGTGCTTTTTTACCAAAAAAATAATGCAACCTGCACTGGTGTGGAGAGGGCGTTATAAACAGGTGAGTATTTTGTGTTTTTATAATTCAGTGTAATTAACTGTCTTATGATTTAAAACATTCTGAGATCTTACTCATATTATTCTGATTGTTACAATTGCAGTGTGTTTGGGGTCAGCAGGTCAAATCAGCGGCTGAAGAACCAAAGACATGGTATGGACTTAAAACTTGTAAATTCTGTCCCCTCTAGCTTTTTGTTTTTTTTTATTATGAACCCTGTTCCTAAATTTATTAGTAGCTCGGTATCATTGAATCAGCTTTAACTGGCACGCTAACTGACAGCCCTGCACATGCCATTGATGTTGTAGAATTAAAAATAGTGTATTCAAATTAGGCAAAACAATACACAATGATGCATTTTCTCTTTTTGTTACATATATTTTCTGAATATCTGCTCATTTTACAATACACAGAATTTTGCAGTAGTATCATATGGCTTAACAGATTTTTCCTGATGTACTGTATATTAAAAAATATGGAACTTGAGCAATATACACATATACCATACAATTAATTCAAAACCTCTCTGCTAATAAATAATGATTTATAAAACTTAACAGAACAAGTGTCTGTTGCCAGTCTTTAGTGATGATTTGCAATACACGGTGCCAGACCATATAGAAACACCAGCAAAAGAAAGCCACCGAAATGCTATCTGTCAGACTTTATGGGGAGAAATGTATGCTGTGTGGCTTTCAGTTAATGTCTCGACAGTGCTGCCGATCAACTCCAATCAATGTGGTATATTTAAAATGTATATGAAGTATTTTGGATCATCACATGTTTATCACAACAGGGGTGTCAGAATTTACAAGAACAAGATACCAGTCACATTCAAAGATGGTGTGTTAGTCATTTCATGAAGTGATTACAGAGTTGTTGTAGAATAATTATTTGGTTTGACCTGAAGTGCACATTTCAGGCAGGAATAGAGGTAAACAAGGAACACGGGGAGACTTGCGTCATCTTAAAATTAAAATTTTATTATTTTTTCACACAAACTGTGTGGTACCGTGGTTCATTGTCACCATGGCTCCCACACTAGTTGCTTGGCAACCAACTGCTCCTTGGAGCTGATGCAACTTCTCATGTCTTTATAATTACAGGGTCTTTTACAGTATTTAGCAAAAACAAAAAAACAATAGAATTGCATGATTACATTATCTAATGACGCTAGAATACAATGATGCTTCGTTGTTAATTCTGCCTCTACGCTGCTTGGATTACATAAATCTAAATTGAAGTACAATACGTGTTAAGGCTGCTGTTTCAGTTTTAAAGCTTTTCATTATAGTTACTGGGATGTGCAAGTCTCTGCGTGTATGTATGCAAATGCATATGTACAGTGCACCCTGTGTGTTTTATCTTTGTTCTTGCTGGCCGAGCGAGTGATTCCTCCAGCCAGGTGTTGGCTTTATCCCCCTCTGGGAATTCAGAGCTCCTGTACCTGAGGGGCTTCTCTGGGCCCGAGGGAGAACCAGGGAATTCACAAAAAGGCCTGCAAGATAATTAAACATCTGAATAATTTAGAGGTGTGAAAAACATTTTCTCATATGTGGTTTGTGAATGTATTATTGGGAGTTGGGGGTTAAAGTTAAATTGAGCTATCAGATGGTGAAGGAAATGTTTAAGAAATAACAATTATGTCCATTCAGATGTGTTTAAACCAGCTTTCATGTAATTATTAAACGTCAGTTGCAGTGTGCAGAGCTGTATGCAGTGACCTTCACTGACAAACTGGCAGTGATGAAATAAAGTAAATGTCCCTGAAAACATTTTTATTAAAACTCTTTAAGAAATATAATTGAACCATAAAGTTTGGCTTTTTATCTTTATAACATGTTTTATATTTGTTTGTATACATTTTTTAACGTTGAACAGTAGCAAGGACATGTGCTGCTTTGGAGAGACTATGCTTCATTTTCTCACCCAGGTTTGGTCTCTTGCAGGATGAGTCTCTCTGGCTGGAGTCGGAGGAAACCGATGTGCTGTTTGTGGAACTGGACTTGACCGAGTGGACCGATGGTACTGATGGTCTTGGAGGATTGGATCTGGGTTTGGCTGTGATTCCAACTGACCCAGAGTTGCTCCCCTCTGGGTGACAACACCAAAAACAGGTAACAGAAATAAAACTTTCACAACACAGTGACAACACAAACCTAAACACATTGATGGACAGCCAAGGTGTTACATGGAAGCAGCTGTTCATTACTGGTGAGCTCAAGCTTTTGCATAGTACCAAGTTGTTTACAGATCACATATTTTAATTAGGAAATTTAAGAGAATATCTGAAAGTTACAACAAAAGTAACTTGAGTGATGTAATTAAGTCACATCATACTTTGTGTGGCTGTCGTACCAGAATATTCTTCAAGTCGAAAACGTCCAAAGCAGAGGTGAATCCTCCACTGTTTCCTGACATTTTCCTTCATCAGACAGTGGAAGAGGAAGAGGAAAAGTCCTGGAATATAAACCCAAGTGAGACAAGGTCATGCTCTTTGGACGACAAGGTTGAATCTTGGTTGGTAGCTCTTTTAGTTTTCAATTTGCACTTAAGCAAGGCATTGCTCTCGAAGAAGTATAAAGTGGAGGGCGTTGCATCACTCTCAGATAAAAAATAAAGTAACCTAACAAAGGCAGAGCCGAGGTAAAGGCAGTTGTGAAATACTTGCATCATTCAGCCTCTGTTTGATTTCCTGCTTTTTTTATCAGGGAGTTTTTTGGTTTCCTTTCAACTGTGAACGTGAAGTGGGCTGTTGGGGAAAACTGCATGTGTGTTTAGCAAACCTTCACTCAATAGGTAAACACACAGCAACACGTGCAACAGGCCTCATGCAAGAAGACCAAAAAAGTTAAGAGCACTTACTCGTATGAATGTTCGAAGTCAGATTCACCAAATCCTCTTACTGTAACTGCACAAATTTCTCTTAAATTGTTCATTTCAACTGTTTTAACTTAAGGGATGCCACCTGTTTATGAGGCTGTATAGTGATGTTGCACTGTCGGGTGCAACAGAGGATGATCCCTGACAACGAACTGCTTAAAGCAGCTGAACTGTACAAGTTGCCAATACAACACATTTGCTGTATTCTTAACATTTCTAGACATATATTATCCAGCATATATCAGTAATCATTTCTGTACAAAACAAACCTTGCAGGGTGTTAAGTCCAGCGAAGAGGTACAGCAAAACCACTCTGGCTGGCCCCCAGGTGAAGAAGCCAACAGTCCATGTTAGTCCTAGTAACAAGGTAATACTGGCAATTCCCTTCAGGTCACGCATCAGTCCCCTGCTGGTCCCAGCCGGCCTGTTGACTCGCATGTGGCGAATCTGGATCAGAACCACAATAAAAACCTAAAAGGAGAGGCGTAAATTACAGGAACAATAATGGAATAAAAGATAAGTTTCCAGGTGCCCTCAAATGGAAAATTTTGATGCAGGATAGGTTCTGATGTATATTTTATACTCAGTCCTGTGAGGTTACATGGGTTTCAAAGCCTGAAATGATCAGATTTTAAGATGTGCATTATATATTATTGGCTTTCAAGAATGGTCCAAAACAAGTGCTGTCTATTTGATAAGTCCTGCTGATATTCCTTCTGAAACTGTGTGCAAATTAGAAAGATAATTAGGATGCTGTGATAACCAAAGAAATGTGGACATAGGCCAGTGCTTTAGTAGTTTTAACTTATGTACAAAATTTTAATGAAATGTTCAAATTACTTACCGAAATGTTGAGGAGAAAGACGAGTACGGCATATGCAACCACAGACACGTAAAATGTCACATCATTGTGGAGCCAACAGCTGAGGGGAAAGGGATAGAGATAAATAAATGAAACATATTTGTACTCGGATTGTCACCCCCTACAATTAATGAAAAAGAGGAATTGCTTAAACTTTTCGCAGCTACATTTGCAAAAAGTTGAACTGCTATTCAACATTTTGATATCATGTGCATGCTCTAATGTTTTCAGTCACTACTGTAAGACTAGCTTGATGTTTTTAACACTAATATATAACAAATTGTGAATTTTATCCAAGGGGGGGGGGGGGAATGACCAAGTTTGAGTATTTGTATGATTTTTGGATTAACATATACATTTAATCTCATCTAATAAAATATATTAAAAACATGGCTGACAAAATAAAATCTAAAATAAACTCATAATGGGACCAGAAAATAACATTTAATAGTCATGTATGTAGTTAGTGTAAGTTAGTAAAGTAATTGCATATGAACGCTTAAAAGACCCCCTCCAGACATGTTTTACGACTTAGTACTCTGCTTAGAATAAGGATTTGTCTCTGATAGGATTTTCACAAAAAACGCTAAGTTCAGTCTAAAATTCTTAAAATTACATCCACTCCTTTTTACTCACTAAATAATCAAGAATACTGTTCACTTCAAGTTTAATGGTACAACGTGAAGAATTGAGACCACTCTTAACCTGTCAAATTCATTCCTCTAAAAGAATAGGGCGAAGCATATCACATGTCAGGTCGTAACTGCTGCTTACTGCCGTTAGCTGGTCAGCACAGTTAGCCATGCAGCTAAATTAGCTGACTAAGAAGAATGAGCATCAGAAATGGAGCGGGTCCCAGAAGTGGGCTCAGCAGCCTCCCAGTGAACCAAACACAGCATCTGTCTCTGACGGAGGCCAGTCTAAAGACAGGGAATACCGTGCTGAGGTACAGCAGCTCTGACCAGGACTGTGACGGGGGATGACAAAGAACCAATGGGTTCAGGCGAGGAGAGGAGAGGCTTCAAGCAGGAGAGGAGCGAGAGGGAGGTTGGGCATCACTACACATGGCTGCACAATCATCTGGTAAATGTCTCATTTAAAGTGAGCACAGAAAAACTTTCCCCCTTCAACAGATGCAGGTGAAAACAGCCTTTTAGTATCAAACCGTAAACATACATCATTCTGCACAGTGAAGGTCAAACATCCAAGTGAAGCAACAATAACACATTTTTGAGAGGAAGGTGATATTAATGTTGCATTTGACCTACAAGTCTTCAACACACTTAACGTCATGTGTATAATTTAACTGTGTAACAGCAGCCAAACAGTATAGAAGGTATCAAGATTTTAAAATTCTCACTGCTGATTGAAACCTCTGTGTTTAAAAAAACGTATCAAGACTTGTTTATAGGATGAAGCCAAAACTCACAAGGTGTCAGAGTTATCCAGTGGCGCTAAGCTAGGCTGAGCATCTGTGTAGAGGTGACTGCCGTAGGCTTCCCTGTTGATGATGAGCACCAGGATGCATATCACCAGAGGAATCCCTGAGCAGACAGTTCCAATACTTTTACAGCATGTCTCACAGACCAAGTAATAATAATATGAATGTTTCAGACAATGCTATAAGATGTGTTTGAGTGTGACAATGTTTTGTCCAGCAACTAACTGAAAAGCAGTCAGTCAAAAAAACAACTCACCCCAACCCAGAGCACAGAACTTGAGGATATAAGAGGGCACGTAGACATTAAAGACTTTGACTAACGCAAAGTACATGTTTATGGCTTCTAATCCCATCCAAGTGAATGACGCCAGGAGGAAGTAGTGCAGCATGGAAGCTATAGCCACACAGAGCCCATATAGACCCAAGGAGGACAGCCAGGAGTTGACTAGAAACACCAGGTTCAAGCCCAGCAGCGCCAGGGAAAGGTTGATGAGGATCTGAGAGGGGTAGTCTCGACGGAGCTTCCTGAGACCGAGGCAAACAAAAGGTATAACACAATAAATGCAAACAGAACCACAGTCGGATACCAAAGCAATTACAAAAATGTACTAAGAAAAACAATGTAGTCATACTTTCAGAAACAGCAGCCTGGGTCTAACACATTTTTGTTGTTGTACAAGTAAGGACAGACTGTTGGGTATTTCACTATGGACCCAGTGGTGTAACACAAAAATACAGTGTTCACATTTATCTGCATTAGAGTTGATATGGCCTTTAAGACCTACCAACAGGTTTACTGTCTGCGTGTAAACACAGCCATTGTATGAGTAAAGAACAATTATAAGATAACAACTCAGTGGTCGGAGTCTCACTCAAAAGCTGTGTAAGTGAGAACAGTGATTCCCAAGAAGACCGATGAGACTCCACAACCAACATAGGTGATAATGGTCAGGATCTGCTCATTAGCTGGGTCCACCGGAGTCCTGGAGACATCCTAGATACACAGACACACACAATAAGCATGAGTGTCCCTGCACATTAACTCACTGGCACAGATTGGAAATCCTGTACAGTAACAACAGTAAGTGCTCTTGTCCCTAATACCAAAACAAACTAGCATGAAAACCTTTTGATTCTTTCTATTCCCTCAGTAAAACACTCAAATGACTATCTCCCTCTGGCACTGTTGTGGGCGAATTAGTGGCAGAATTGGGCAACACAGCTGAAGTGTTAGTTTCAGCAACAACAGGAGTAATAGCCCTGATATCTTTACAGTTTTGAAATATGTTAAGAGCAAATTTGTCAAAAGAATGTTTTGTTATGTTGAAAGTTATATTTGATTTTAAAAGTAATGTGTCTTTGCTATCTGTAAAAGACAGGAAGCCTATCTCATAATCACTTGGGCTCATAATGAATTTGTGTCAAATTTTGCTTGACAGTAGTTTTTATATATTGTGCATTGTGCGCCCTCTGCTGGTACAATCTAAGTATAACCACTTTTGTCTAGAATCTCTTTGCAATCACTACCCCTAATAATATACTAATACTACTAATAGTAACTACCAATACTGCTGCTTCCCATGCCACTACTGTTACCAACACTTTTAAATGTGCTACAGTTACTCCGAGGCCAAAGCGTGCTTTCCAGGAAATAGTAAAAGAAATACAGTTCATACCAGAAGAACTCCGAAGTGTGTGAGATGATCACACAGGCACGTTGTGTAATCAGAGCTGCTGTTGTATTTTCTGCAGCCGTAATCATCCCAGCCTCCATGTCCATCTAGATGATGACACAGACATTTAGTATCACACAGTTCATCCAGCATTTATAAATGGAAGAGTTGTGATCATTTAAATCAGGACATACTGTTTTTATTGAAGTTCCAGTACACACACTGTACGTCCTTGTAAAGCTTGGACAAAAGAGGGAAATTAATTATTTTTGTTAATTAAAGACATTGCTAACACATTCTTTCATCATATTGACAGCAGTGCAAGCAGCAATAACTCTGTAGCAGATTTATGTCCTTTGGTGGCAATATTTTTAAAGGACAGTTGATCCTACTGTATTGGGTATGAGATGATGGAGCGTAACTTTGACATATTCCTCTAGGTCTTTGATTGACGAGCTGGTGTTGGTCACACTGGCTGACACCACAAAGGTGTTGAGAACCTGTCCCTTTTGGCTGCTCTGGAAACAATAACAAAATGTTATAAAAAATATAAATAAAACACTGATTCCCTGATATCAAGAAAGGGCCTTAAATATTCTGATAGAATTGCACATTACTCCTGTTTCTTTAAGAGAAAGGAGTCATATTAAATAGTACCTTGAATAGTAGCGGGATGCCGTAGAACTGAAACGTAATCCTTGGTGGGCTCTCGTTTGGGCTGTTCTGTGGGAAGCTGTACTGCAGGACAGACGGCAGGGAAATGAAAGCCACTGTGCTATTGAAGGGATAGCTGTTGATGAAAATCTACAACAAAGAGAGAAATGTATTAACTCTCTTTTAAGCTCAGACTTGGCCTGCTTTAAATAGTAACACACAAAGTGCAATGTAAATGCTCCGTATTTGTATAGCGCCTTTCTAGTCTTTTCGACCACTCAAAGCGCTTTTGAACTACATCTGCATTCACCAGTCAAACACATTCATACACTGGCGGAACAGCCGCCAGGGGCAATTCAGGGTTCAGTATCTTGCCCAAGGACACTGCGACATGCAGCCTGGGGGAGACGGGGATTGAACCGCCGACCTTCCGATTAACGGCCAACCACAGCCGCCCGCAGATTCTTATGTGACAATATACTGTATGTATGAATGTGAAAGTTAGACAGAGTTTAAGCAGTGATGCTCACTTTGAGAGAAGTTACATTAATAAGTACAGATAAAATTGCATTTTTGCCGATGCACCACTGTATTTAAATTGCACATTTGGTAGAAGAAGCTACATTTTGTATATTCTACAGAGTATAAATTTTTTAAAACCATATTTAAAATTTTAGTGTATCTCAAATCTCTTCTGTTTTAGACAGTGGGGGGAAAAAGGTGAAAAGTGGATGTTAAGAGGTTAAATGGATACGTTATAAACTTTCCTTATATCAGACCAAATAGTGAGAGACATTTTTATTGGACAACGGCTCAGCTGTATTTGTCATAATTTATCATATTTTAACCTTTACAAAAAACACGACATAGCTGTTGATAATCAAAAACAAATTCGGGTTCAGACAGATTAAAGACATTTCTTGATTGTTACTTTACTAACCTCAGGCTTTGTGCCAGCGCGGTCAGATGACACTCCAAAAGTCAAACTTCCAAACTGTCCAGGGACTACATCCACCACTGAGATAGCAATGGCCGGAGCAACCAAGGTGGAGGAGCCCTCGTAGCCCACCATCCTGTCTCCCACTGCCTCTGTGATATTTAGGATCCTGGAGAGGAAGACGGAGAAGGGGGGCAAACAGACGTCAAACAGAAAAGTTGAGAGAATGGATTTGGATTTTTGATTCAGTTTTCCCTCCTTACGTGTTAGTAAAAGGCACCAGGTTGCTGTCAGATTCCAGTATGTCCGAGATGATGTTGATTAGAGCTTGGCCCAGAGTTGTTGTGACCACACTGATGTTGACGATGTCCTCGAGCTTGTTGAGGACGGTGACCAGCTCCTGGTAGTTGAGTGTGGAGTGGTTGCTTAGTAAACCCTCAATCATCTCCACCACGTCCAGTGCATTCTCTAGAGACAAATGATATACCTTGTGAAATTATGTATCTGGTGGTGTTTTTTTGTTTGTTTTTTTACAGGTCCATCATAGAATAAATCTTCATCTTTTCATTGAGTTTTTGTTAATTAAATGTACAAAACAGAATCAACCAGGCCACATTGACCGGCAGCAAGGTTCAGTTCACTGGTGAGCAGCAGCCACCCACTGGCTTTGCATACATCGGTTTTTAGGCATTTTGAATTCATCATTATGAATTTTTTGTATCTTTAACAAAACATTTTTAACCTTAAATTTGAGACTTAATGATGTAATTATTTAAAAGTCGACAGCTACAACTTAAGACAGACGAGTGAAGTGTGTAACAGACCAGCAGTGACTTCGACATGGTCCAGATCAGGGATGGTTTCCACCATTAGAGAACAGTCTTCCAGATCTGCGACCATCCAGTGGGTACTGAGGCAGAGTTTACTGTCAGACAAGAAAGGACAGAGGGAGAGGGCTTTTGAAACAGAATATTTGCCAAATGTTTTATTCCTTGTCTTGTTTATATTTTACAAGCTAGGTATCTGTATGGTGTGTTTTTGCTGGGCAAAAAACTTGGGCACAAAATGCACCCCTAAGACAGAGCTTAGACTGCTGGGAGGCTGTTGATCCTGGCAATCTCCCATTTATTAACGACAGTCATTAGTGACACCGACTTCCTGATAAATGGTTTTACAGCACAGCCTTCTGCAGCTCATGAGCAGCCATCAATAAGCATTGTCATGCTGAGTCAACACACAGGGAGTGTCCTGAACACAATGAGACAGCCATGTAAATATATAACAACGGATGTAATCAATACCCAAATAGACGTATAAATGTATTTATTAATGTGTTAAATTCATGTTGACAACCAGCTAAATACATGTAGACATTTCTCAGTATGACTGCATGATGAATTGTTCGCAGGTCATTAGTTCAGCGATAAGTGACAGCAGTAAGCAGTACAATTTAATGGCAGGAAACTTCATACAGGTGCAAACATACATACCTGGATACATACATATGTAAATACATACCTGGATTTCAGCTTTAAACATCAGAAAGTGTCAATTGAGTGTCAACCAGAGTATTTAATGTGTGGGTATTAATTTAATAAGCTTTCTTGGGTATGTTTTTGTTACTGCTACTGTCGAACAAGAAGAGAAGTGTCATCTTGAAAAATAGTTTGGTCATCCCCTCTTCAAAATACGTTATGTCCCCGCCATGCCTCACTACTACCTCACTTAGTGTTTATTCAGCAGACAACCCTTGCTCATTCTTAATTTTTGAAATTAAATTTGTTTCCTGTTTGAAATTATTTAATGGTAACGTTTGATAATCAAATCAAATGTTACCTTGTGAATGGTAGACATAGTCCTTTTGGTCCTACTAAAGTAAAATATCACAAATGTAACAGTGCCTCTGCGTAGGATTCTTCCTACTTTTTGTTAATATTTATTCTTTTATTTTTGAAATCCTTCAATCATTTACTAAATGTCAGAAAATGCCCATCACATTTTCAAAAATATTTATTAAATTTATCATGATGTCAAATAGAGAGAAACAGCATATACTGACATTTGAGAGAAATAGTTTGAAAAATAACTTCTAGGTTCTGAAAATTACTGCAATTGTTCCAGGACTCACTGGAACACTGTTTCCCCAACTGGTAGTTTTATTTGTTTATTCTAACACCCTGGACTGCGCTACAATTGTGATTTTATTTATAATTAAGCAGCTAGCAAAATGAAAGAATGATGTGTCTGTGCACTCACCACGCTCGGGTCGCGTAGCGGTGAGGGTTTTTCGGGCACGGATGAGTTGCTTTTTTTCCTCCTGAAGTGGCAGGCCACTCAAACAGGCCTTTCCTTGTCAGATGGGTTTCTGCCTTGCATTTTAATATCACTAAAACGGCGTGACAGTGACACAGATGGAATAAGAGAGAATGACAAACTGATTTTTAAAAAATGTTTTGATTTTATAGAATTTAATATCAATTATTTCAATTAAGAATATTATTAAGTAATATAATTTCAGATTTAAAAATGTATATTGTGTGATCTTTCCCTGAGCCATACTCACATATGTGGTTTATCTGTATGTTCTCTATTCTTATAGAGATAGATCCGTTGTCATAAGGCATCAGCAGTAGGTTTCTTATCTGTTGTGCCATTTCCGTTGTGTCTGACGACATCATAACATGAACCTGGAAAATACAGCTCTCTCTGCAGACAGTGAAATAGTTAATTATAGGTTGCAAATAGCTCCGTATGAGTGAGTAAACTATTTGTGTCGATCTTTTATAGACAAAAAGTGTTCAAAGAAAGAAATCAAAGTTAGTCTTAATATAATCTTTCAGGCAGTAAACGTTTCCTTAAAAGGACATATTTGATGAATGAATTAAAAAGCTAAATTGAATCATAATCCTACACAATTAAGATGCTGTGCAGCCCGTTTCATTATTTGCCTTATTGTGTTTTGTATTAATTTTCCTTGTGCTTAATTTGTTCTTAATCTAAGTGAAATTGTGTAGAGCCACATGATCCATACCTTGAGACTCTATGTATGAACACCTGGGAAAAAAAAAATATTGACACAGTTTTTAAAAAGTATTAAAAATCAAGACAGAAAATACAAGGTGGTGAGTGCAACTAAATATAAATTATATTAATGCAGAGAAATGTATACATTTTGCCACAGTGTGTTCACTGATTTCATTGTCTGTTCTATTTCATTCAACCACTCTGGAAAGAAGTTAATACTTCTTTCCAGAGTGGTTTCTAGCAAATTCACCATTCTTAACTCATAGATCTGTTCACCATCTAAAAAGCATTGAGACTGGAAGCAGGGGGAAACATCTTATTTGTTTAATCGGTACATAAAAGGTAATGTAAAAAGGACATGTTGTGGTTTTATAAGGCGTTTCATACTGTTGTTTGGCGACCCATGGCTGGGTCAGCTACGTCATAGAGTCTTGTTGTTACTGTTAGGTTGCAACCAGTAGAGACTCAAGGAAATCAGTGCACCTTGCCGTTGGTCAGGTGTTTCAACTAACTCTTGGCAGGAAAGTGAATGAGCTGTTTTTTCAAAATGTTTAGCTATCCTTGGAGGGACGGTGAATGTTGGAAAATGCTTCTATGGTGTTTCAAAATCAGGCTGAAGTAAAAGATTAAATATAAGATAAAAGATTCTATAAATTCAGAGCATGGAAAAAAACATTTTTTTATGTTTACTTACTCCCTCAGAGGTAGAGAGGTTTGAATGCAGGTTAGGGTGCAGTCTGAAAGTGAGATCAGTCACTAAATTAAATCACTTTGAAAGTTAAGAAATTGTATCAGATTGTGTGGAAATAGACGGTGAGTTGATGGTGTGGCAGCTACATCATGTACTGTACCTCTGAGCTTTGGGGAGCAGCTGGAGGTCAAAAACCATCATCACGTCACCAGGTAGACTAGAGTTGAGCTGTGGAGAGTCAGAGACCACATTTAAAACAGGTAAAGTCAACTCTTTGTTGTATGTCTAAAACTAAAGAGCTATGCTATTCTGTCGGACATACCCAGGTGGAAAGAATCTGTTTTGCGTCACAGATTCCTGTTATGGAAACATTCGCCTTTACCTCAAAATACAGCTCTGCAGAGGAGATCCAGACAGAAAAAAAACACTTTTCACATTCACATTTCATAAGGCATCCAGTAGGTTACAGCTCAAAATAATCCACACAAAACCGGGCTGGAGAGCTGTTCTGTAAATAATCAGACTGACCAGAAACATTTGTAGGGCTTGTTGTGAAAGCGGTGGTTGTGGCCACATTCGAAGAGGTACTTGTGCTGGTGCCAGTGGCAGGAATGGATGTTGTGGTTTTAAATGTGGTGGTTGTGACTGGAAACGGGTCTGTAACCACAACAGGAGGCCTGATGGTGGTGGTGGCAAAACTTTCTAGAAAGGGGAAATATTATTGTGAACCAGAATAAGTTTTTCTGCAAAGTTTAGACAAACACACATGCGTGGTAAGAACTATTTCCAACCAATAGGTTTGGTGTGTATGCTGTTGGGATCAGTCAGCAGCCGTAGCAGACCACTGGGGTCATTGTAGGTGATCTGAAGGACCTTGTACATCACTTCTTGCACAGCTGCCACATCCAAGCTGGGGATGATGCTTACATGAACCAGACAGTCAAACCTACAGAGGAGATATAGTGTTGTTACTGTCCTCTGCATATTGTGACTTGTGCCCCCTTAAAATGAAGCAAATGAATGAAATGAAGTCTATTTGTTATGGCCTTAATGTGGGCATAAGTTGTGAACACATCTCGTGTTTTTCACTTTTGGTATTTTGTTCATATGATCATAATTTAGATACACACATACTATTAATCATTTGCATATAGATACATTTTAAAATAAAAGGAATATTATTTGAGTTATAAATTGAACAGCTAGTGAACAGCTGATTTCTGACTCACAGTGTCAGGAACAATTCCTGTGCAATAACCCAGTAACTTTGTCTCTAATCAGTCACCTACTGGTTTCCACTTATAATTTACTTATTCACCATTCTCTATTTCAGTGCTGTTCATACTATGTCATATTGTATATACCGTATACCAATACACCTACCTAAGGTCATAAGGTCATAGGTATTATTTATTTTTCCAGCATCCTTTGCACTATGCTCCATCATACCTGTACCTGTATATCATATCCACCTTCAATATGTACATAATGAGAATAATAGTTAACTCTTGCATCCTTTGCACTCTGATCACTGCACTTTGTCAATATGTCTATATTGTTTTGTTCATAGTGTGTATATTAGTGTTGTCTATACTGTAGTTTGTGTCTGATTTTATTTAATTATTATTTTATTATCGTGTTATGGTATTTTTGTACGAGTAAGCACATCATGTACAATCCTGAGTCAAATTCCTCATATGTGTACACATACCTGGCAATGAAACTGATTTGATTGAACATCCTTTAGTTTACCATCTTACTGCCCAGCGGCTATCAGATTATATAATATTTAGAAAACCATTAAAGAAAAATCATTAAAGGAGCTGCATGCAACCATTACTGGTTGTCAAACGTAGAATATTACATGCAACGATGTTACTGTGCTTTCACATTGTCACATTATTAATACATAGTAGACAGTGGAAGGAAGCTCCAGGGTCCGGTTTATACCCAAAAACTGCACTCTCTACCGTGTTAGCTGCCAAAACTTCCACTACAGTAGTGTAAACTCTCGCACAGCAATTTAGGAAAGTGTACAGACATCTCCCCTTTCAGTAAAGGAATGTGAAAACACCTCTGTAGTGACAAACTTTGCACAGGTACAAGTCAGTAAAGTCAAGGTCTGACATTTTAGGGACATAAAGATAAGAAAAACTAATTTTTGAGTGGACAGAATCAGTAGTGAAACAGTAAACAAACTATATTACCTGTTATTAGGGGGAGCCCACCGCACCTGAAGATTAAAAGACACATTTAAAGTTACACTAAAAATAGATTTTAGCTACACATTATCCCTATGATGGCAAAAATTCCTATATGCTTTAGAGCCTGAGTGATATTGGATTTTTGAGACTATTACCAATAACTGATACAATTATATTGGCCAATATTGGTGGACAAACTTCTGTATGTCCACCAGAGAGCACTTACTATGTCATTACTGCAACTTTTTGTCACCTACTGGCCAATGCATACCAATAAAGTAATATCTGTTGATATATCGACTCAGCCAATCTATCGTTCAGGCTTTAATGTGCTTGCTTACCAGCTTGTCTTCATGTGATGTATATACAAGGCCGTCGTCTTTACTGGATCTGCTTAAGAGATGAGAGAAACTCTGTATGCTTTGTTCCTCCTCTCTGTCATGTACTATATGTATATATACTATAAGTACTGTTTAATTAACTTTGTATTTTATTACAAAATACATTGAGTCATGTCAGTGTTGTAAACTCGAAGCTTTTCATACCTGGTTACTTCAAACACGAACACTCCGTGTATATAGATGCTTTTTGGCAGCACCTTACTGAGCTACAGGATCAACAAAGAGCAGAGAGCAGTTACAGCCACTGAGATTTACTGCAGGTAAACAAAGTCAAAGTATCACCTGTACAATATAATGCTGTCCAACCCAACAACCCTGTAATTTGTACAAATTTTATACATACATATTTTGTAAAATAAAGAAGGTTTAACGTGAACTCAAACCTGTTAACAGTTTTATTATTATAAAATCTTGAGGCTTTATTGCATTGTCAAAACTGGCCTTGTGGTAAAACCTAAACATTTTGCTGAAAGCACCACCACGTTTACACAAAGTGACAGCAGGAATAAACCCTTTCGGTGTTCAGTGTAATATACAGAACAACTTTTTTTGTTTTTGTATATTTGTTTGTTTCTTTTACCCAGTAGTGAGCGATGTCTCTGGCTGTGTAGAACTCTGTGTTGTTTCCATCGTAACGGATGATGGCAAACATCAGTCTTACTTCATAAATCGACCATTCTGCCGGAGAGAACATAAAAGTATGTGTAAATATAAGTAAAGACAATGTAGAAGTGCATTTAAACACAACAACAATTGAAACATATACCATTAAAATGTATAACTTTTAGTACAGTATTTTTAGCATAATTGTACTTTCTATAGTAAATCCTAAATGCTTTTTATTTTCTTGTTAAATTGGTTTCACCTTTGTTTTGGATCTAAAATATCTTTATGATAAGCAAATCCATTATGGTATATACAAGATAAGAAATGTAAAACCAGATGATAATGGAAACCTTTTTTGTGTTTAGCCTCTAGTTCATTGAGCCCCAGCTCAATTTGAAAAGCAGAACTTGAGGGTGAAATGGATTTATATGGATACTGGAAAAAATCCTTCTTCTTTCATTGTTCATATCAAGTGCAGATGTTTCAGTATTGTTGTGAAGGACATTTCCTAATTCTAAGCTCTGTGTGCAAATCTGTCAGATATGTTTCATGTAAGGTAAAATCTATGTGATTCTTACATGTTTTGATTTAAACCAGTCAGAAGATTTTTTTTCTCAACCTTCACTTAATTGATACACATGAAAATGAAGATATGTTGTTATTTGCTCTTGCCTAGCCAAGAAATCAGAATTAATAATTAAAAAAGAAAGTTATTTTGGTAATTAAATTGATTAATATTTACATTCTTAAAACTCTGTCAGTGTTGACTCCATGTTATAATTAAGATTTTCAATCAAATCAAGAAGTCTAGGTTTACTTAAAGCTAATTGTTTAACATTAAGTTTTATGGTAAAATGACAGCAGGTTCCAGCTTTGCACACAGAAAATAACAACCTGTGACAGCTGTGTGATTAATTCTTCTGATCTCATTGTTATTGATCACAGAATGGCTTCTATATTTACTTAACTGACAAAAAGACGGGGTCAATATTTAATCTGAGGGCTAAGGACATACAGTAAACCAAAGGCAGCCACCGAGGCTGTCACTTAGGTAGGAAAAAGCTTTAAAATGCTTGATGGAACTGACAGACCATTTACTGCATTACTGACTGTTGTATAAACACTGTGGGAGACAGCGAATGGAGAAATATTCAACTTGTCGATACTTGCAGAACTTGAAGGTGCTGAGGTAAATGTAGGGTTTATAAAATTTGATACAAAAGCATTTTACTTTTGCAGCAAATAATGAGGGAAAACATTCCAGTTGATATAAAGGACATTTTCCATTGGCTCACCACACTGCAGGCTGGAATCAGGAAGCGGAGGACAGATCAGAGAGTCCCAGTTGTCTCTCTCCCACTTCACCACGTCCCCATCTGTACATTTCAGTGATGTCACTTCCCGTTTGCTGCGTTCTCGCCCCCATAGACGAAACAGAGATAATTTAAATGGAACAATCTGGTTATTCCCGTTGATGTTTGCCGGGCCCAGAGTAAGCGTTCCATTGGGGGCCAGTTTGCTGCACGAGAGGGAAGTAGAGGGAGTTGAACCTACAGATGGGCGACAAATTAAAAGAAAAACCTCAATAAAAGAGTGGACAAACATCTCAAGATGCTTCTGTGCACCAGAGGACTGTTTCATAAAACCAAGATAGTGGATTAAGATGGGATTTTCCAGATATCCTAGCTGAATTAAGCAGTGACTCGGTTTCACGAAAGCAGTAGCATATAAGTTACCATGGCAATTTATTCTGTGCAGCTAGCCTGCTCCTGACCAGGCTAACAGCCAGACTTAGTTAATCCTGGTGCCGTATCTGTTCAGTCAACGGTTACGCCGATCAGAAACCAAAGTCCTTTTTCAGTTATTCCATGTTCTTTTGTATGTTTTTTGCATATTTTTCATTAGCCTGCATTAAAATGCCACAGGTAGACTACATTTTGGCAATATGGTAGCACATAGTTTATGGTTATTAGGCTTCACAATTGGAGAAGAAGACTCGTGCACCATACTTAACACACAGTGAGCAACAGTGAGGAGGTTACGTGAAATAAAATCGCATAACGTGTAAAAAAATTTAAATAAAATAAAAAACAACACTTGCAGTAATAAAAAAAATGGGACAGTGGCAGACAATAGTGGACCGACTGAATGTGTAGCTGTAACTGAAGTAGCTAAAAATATCAGTGCTCTTAACTGATCTTAACTCATTGTTATTAAGCCTTAAAAGTGAGCAGTGGACGTTATGTCACTATATTAATGGGATTAATATATATATGTATGTGAATATGTGTGGGGTGTGGTCCTGGTCAAGACAATCTCCTGAACTCCAAACTGAATGTCAGAATGGGAAAGAAAGGTGATTTAAGCAATTTTGAGCGTGGCATGGTTGTTGGTGCCAGACGGGCCGGTTTGAGTATTTCACAATCTGCTCAGTTTCACGCACAACCATTTCTAGGGTTTACAAAGAATGGTGTGAAAAGGGAA